AATTTACTGAGCCACATTCCCAGCCCTTTTTTGAATTTTATTTGGAAATGGTCTCGCTGAGTTGCTTGGGCCTTGCTAAGTTGATAAGGCTGGCTTTGAACTTCCGATCCTCCTGCCTTAGCCTCTTGAATTGCTGGGATTACAGGCATGTGCCACCGTGCCCAGCTTCTTTGTTTAATGAGGTAGAAAGTCAAGCTTTAGGATGTTAGGAGGTCTTACAGTCACAAAGGGAGGACCTATTCCTGGACTCAGAACTGCCAGTTTCTAGCTCTAAACTCCCATCTCCAAGTATGGCTTTCTGATCCTGGAGTTTACCTGGTCCAAGGGCTGCTCTGTCCAGGTGTCTTCATTGTCTGCTACGTCTTGGGCCCCTGTTGTCTCCCTCCTTGGGTGAGGAGCCCTGTATATTCCCTTAACTCCTAATGAGGGAGGTAAAATTGACTGATGCCCAGACTGCAGAGTCCTTGGCCTTCTTTCCCTTGACCTCTATACTCTTTCCCCTTCCCTGCTTGCTTCACATTCCCCACTATTCAGAGGATGGCAGGGAAGTTGAGAGGCAGGCTTTTAATCCCAGCCCTAGTCCTTGTAAAGCCCACCCCTGAATCATTTTGAGATAAGCATTGCCCTTTCCATGTGCTTCTTTTCATATGATAAGTCCCTAAGAAAAAGCAAGAGACTGGACATGCCAACAGGAGAGTAGAAGACAATTATGCTGAGGTCAGAGCCAGCTCTATACCTGGGCATTCTGCCCCAACAGATATCCCCAACAATAGCAGGTACCATCCTGTGTCACTGTCAAAGGGTGGCTACGTAAAGTGTCTGCCTAGAATGCTTAAGACCCATGGAATGGGTTTCAATCCCCAGCACTGGCTGGGCACAGTGGCTGGCACACACCTGTAATCCTAGCGACTCAGGAGGCTGAGGAAGGAAGATTGCAAGTTCAAGGCCAGCCTCAGCAACTTAGAGAGGCCCTAAGCAACTGTAGGCCCAGGGGCCTGTCTCAAAAAATAAAAATAATAAAAAAGCTCGGTTATTGCTCAGTAGTTAAGCACCCCTGGGTTCAATCCCCATTACCAAAACCAAAACCACAACATCAGTCCTCAGCACAGGAAAAAAAGAGGGGTGATTGGCTGAGAAAGGCTTGGTCCACAGAGGCCCCTCACCTGATGGAAACAAGAGAGTGGGGAGCTTGCTTCTTGGCTGAATGTTCTGCTGGGGTCTGGCATAGAAAACAGATGGTTCAATTTGTGCTGGTTCTTTTGGAAAGGGAAGAGTGACCTGTGTCCTGAGGCCTTGGTCCTACAGAAAGAACACTGGGCTCAGACCCTGGTTTCTGGCTTGTCTCACCTTTCTTATTCCCCAATCTAGGCTTCAGCATGCCATGAGGCCTGTGGGAGCTTGGGAGAGGCAGTGCCATCTACCTTCACAGTCTGCATCCTCCCTTCCTACCCCTTCTTCCCACCAGACTGCCTATCCAGGGACGGAGCAGCTGGTGCCTGGCACTCGAAGATACCCAGTGAAACCAAACTATACTTGGACTTCATGCTCACTGGCTCATATCTTCGGAGGGCTCAGACCTGTAATAGGATGGGGAGCTGAGGTTCCTGGGGCACTGCTATTCAAAGAATGCCAGTTCTGTCTCCCAGCATCCAACCTATCAAGAAGGCATCAGGCCCTTCAATAGATGAATGGATTTAAAAAATGTGGCATTTATACACAATGGAATATTACTCAGCACAAAAAAATAACAAGATCATGGCATTTGCAGGCAAATGGATGGCATTAGAGCATATTTTGCTAAGTGAAGTTAGCTAATCCCTAAAAAACAAATGCCGAATGTCTTCTCTGATATAAGGGGGGTGACTCAAAATGGGATAGAGAGGAAGAGCATGAGAAGAAGACTACCACTAAATAGGGAAGAGAGGTGGGAGGGAAAAAGAGGGAGAAGGGGAGTTGCACGGAAGATGGAAGGAGAACCTCATTGTTATACAGAATACATATATGATGTGAGGAGAAAAAAAAAGTGTGTCACATTAGATTGGATAGAAAGAAAGGATGGGAGAGGAGGGGAGGAGTAGGGAGGATAGGAAGGGCAGCAGAATAGAATAGACAATATGATTGATGTATGTACATTCCATGTATGTAAATTATATGTCAAAATACATTCTGCTGTCATGTATGACTAAAAAAATAAATAAAAATAATTTGTATGGTTAAAAAAAAAAAAAGAAGGCATTAGGTCTACAACTTCACCTTGAAGATCAGTTCTGGTCTGGTCTGTGCTACTCAATAACTGTGTCACCCTGAACAAATCATTTTACTCCTATGAACTTCAGTTTCCACCTCTGGAAAATGGTGATAATCTATTTCACGAGATTATTGAAAGGATGCAGTGAAATAAGGTCAGAGTTCAAATTTATCAGAGTTCTCTACTTCATTCCGACCCCCATGCCCTGTGGATCACCTACCCTCTGCCTGTGGGGTCTATACTTCAGGCCTGGAGGATACCTACAATGAAAGAAGGAAAGGCTTGTGTGGGCAGAGGACATGGAGTCAGCACGCTCACCAGAGGGCACCTTTCTCTGCTGCAACCACATACATACCAGCAGCCCCTGGGCAGGGAGGGACTGGGCACCAGCAGCTCCAGATAGGGAAGGGCCTTAAATTCATCCTCTCCAACAGCCACGTAGTAATGGCCATTCACCAGAGCCTCCACCGATGACAGTGTGAGCCCCTCCAGGGTGCAGAGTCTGGGGGAGAGGTGAGCAGGATAAGGACCTACAGACAGATTGCCTCTTCACAGTCAGCAGGCAGTGAGGGGGCAGGTACCCTCTGGCCTCTGGCCCTCAGACCTAGGCTCTGCCTTGGTTCTGAGGGCTGGGCCAGAGAGACCACTTCTTATGGCACAGGAGGAAATCCTGCTGGAGGGAACATTCTCCTTTTGCCGTTTCATCCTCAGGAACAGCTGAACTCAGTAAGGAGACTCTCTGGAGACTTTTGGGTTTCCCCAGGCCCCATACTCACTTATGCACATCCCCATTCTGTAACTTGGCCTTGTCAGTCAGGAGCTTCAACATAGTTTCCCAGTCCTGAATGGCAGCCTGGGACACCTTCAGATTGAATGGAGGACTTAGCAGATCCCCATTCCTAAACACACTGAGACAAAGAACCACCTGGTGAGAGGGAGGGACCTGGGACTCCCTTCATGTGAGAAGGATGGCACAGGTGCCAGAAGATGGTTTGAGAACTACTGTACTGATCCAATTCCACCCATCAAACATGTTGGACATTTTTTTTTTTTGTATCCAGGATTGACCCGGAGTGCTTAACCATGGGGCAGCATCCCCAGCCCTTTTTTGTATTTTATTTAGAGACAGATGAGTTGCTTAGGGCCTGGCTTTAAACTCATGATCTCCTGCATGGCTTCCCAAACTACTGGGATTACCACACCTGGCATGTTGGACCTTTTATTTCCCACTGGTAATCAAAAGCTCCTGGAACAAACACACCCATTTTATCTATACCCTGCTATCTGATGCTGGACTCACTGGATATAGAAGGGGATGCCTGCAGGCAGCCACTGTCCAAGAGCCCAGTCACACGGGTGGCCAGTCATGAGAGGATCCTGAAACCCAAGTCAGATCCCCAAATCAGGAGAGAGGTATTTGGTTAGGGATGAGTCAGCCCAAGAAAAGTGTAGTGAGCTGGAAGGAACCAGACTCCTATAGGGAAGGAGGCAAGGAGGGGGCCCTTTCACTAAAGGGTGCTTTTAGATCCCTTAAGTCACTCTAACCATCCTCTACCCCCATGTGTATTTCACAGTTTCCTCTTTCCTTTGGGAACCACACAGGACCACGGGATAGTGTCTTGAAATTCCATACCCCAAGGAGAGCAGCAAGCTCCAGAGTGGGAGTGGAGAGTGTCCCCCAAGAAACCTGCAGCTCTTGCTGCTTCCAGGGTCTCTGACTTCCCAGAGCAATTTGGAGCAATCCCAAATCCTACCTAGGAGGGCTGGGAGGGCAGAGGGGCTGGGGGACAGCCTTCCTCAGTACTCACTTGTAGTCTGCTGCTCTTCCCACCTGGATCCTTCCCTCCAGGGGGTAAATAGCTGAAAAGACATTGGATGAAGGTCATTTTGGGGAGTCTGGTGTTTCAACAACTAAGTAACTGCCAGAGCATGGGCTGGGGCACACCTTGCCAGGTACCTCTCCCCACAAGGACAGTTTCTCAGCATACTCAGGCCAGAAACAGATGCTGGTACTTGAACCTACCTTAGAATTCTTTAAATGCCAGGTCAGGCTGGAAATTCAGACTAGGATTATTGGCAATAGTGTTAAAGACTGAGAGAAAAGAGGACATTAAATATCCTACTATATCTCAGGAATTTTTACATTCATGAAGTGGATGGCTTAATCTACATTTTGTATGAGATTCAAGAGAAGCTAAGTGACTTACCCAAGGTAAGTCACTTACCATAGGAAGTGACTAAGACTCTGTCTAGCTCCCAAACCCTTGTTCTCTCCATTGTAGTAAGCAACCTCAGCTAAGAGCTCAGAGTAGGATGTGGAAGCCAGAGCTGGACTGGAAAGTCAGATAACTTAAAATTCTTTTCCCACCTTGGAAGGTGGCCCACCCTCCAGAGAGGGATGATCCTAGCCTACCTGAAAGGTTGGGATACATAGCAGGGAGGGAGGAAGTGTCATCAGATTTAGAGTAGTGGTGATGGTGGTGGGAGGGGATCTAATCAAGATCTTTTACAAAAAAGTTCAAACTGCAGAATAGTCTCCTTCCCATGGTCCTGATTGTGGTGGGCATGGGCCCCAGTACCAGACAAAATCCAATCTAAATTATAGCTCAACCACTTGTTGCTCACGTACTTAGGCAGGTGTTCACTATTTCTCCCCTCCCTGTTTAAGTAACAAAATACATAAAGCTGGTAACTACACACCAGACTCACTATTGTTCCTGCTACTGCCTCTCTCCGAGGCTCTTTGACCAGGCTCAGCCTACTTACTGAAGCTTGCGAAATCTTTCGAAGCCAGCAGCCACATACTGCCCTCCATTTTGCAGTTCTGCCAGGTCGGTGACAGGGTGGCCATGAAAAGGTGTATAGAGGGCACGCACAGCTAGTGGGGCCTGCACGGCTGATGTCACCTCATAAAAGAAGGCCTCCATGGTGGGGAAACGGCGTTGGGTCACCACCAGCTGGCGGCCTGGGGAGTGGGGATCCCCATTTCGGTATACCACTATCCTCTTGGCTCCTGAACTTCCACCTGCCATAGTGTGTCCTCTGTCAAGAGACACAGAACTGTTGCCAGGCAACGAAGGCAGGGCTAGAGCCATGCCAATGAGAGGTGGAGTCCTGCCCTTTCAGGGAGAGCCTATGGTAGGGGCATTTTTCTGCATTCACAATCTCACTGATAGGGCCTCACAAGAATAGGACAGGTATGATCACTGTATGAAAAAAAAAGACCCTGGGGCTCAGTAAGAGAGGACAGCAGAGATCCTACTTAAATACAGTGTTCCAGTACTTTCCAGAGCCTTTTCCACTCTGAAGCCTAACAGTTGAGCTCAAGTGAGGATCAGGTTGGGAACTATTCCCCAAAGAAGATCTGCCCTCAGATCTGCCCCTGGGCTGAGGCTCCCAGCTGGCTCTGGGATTGACACTCACCCCATGATGACAGGAAGTAAACAGGAGGGATGAAAGCAGCCAGGCTCAAAATCCAAGAAAAATTTTTATTCTCTTCCAGGCCTCCCACTTGTCTTTCCCCATATAACTAATCCTTAACCTGAAATTTGGATTGAGCCAAAAGCTGAGGATGAAAAGGTGTCCTTTGCCCTCTGCACTATGCCTCTAGTCTCTGCTCCAATCTCCATTGGCCCCACTAGTCATTGATGGCTGGGGACGAGGGCAGGGGAGGCAGATGAAGGCCTGTCTTCACCACAGCCTTGTCATAGCAAACCTCTTTGGAACCTGTTCCTCTGCTAGCTCCTCAGGATCTAGCTTGGTGGTCCTGCTTTCCGTAGCCTGTCCCTCCACTGGTCCTCTCCTTTCTGGTCTAATCCTGTGGAAGATAGGGTCTCAGGTGTCCTTGAGCTCCACAGTACAGTCCTCTAGCTTTTCCAGCTTTCATGACTAGGCTTATTGGAGGTTCCAACTATGGAACTTCTGCCATAGGGCCCTGGCCCTTGGACATTTGAATCCTCCTGAAATATAGGGCACCATGCTTTGGTCCTGCCATGGTCCCATCATAAATGATGTATGTGGTCCTTGGAGAGGTCATATCTTGTGGCCTGCTGTTTGGTAGTCAGGTTTTTTTTTGTGGTTTGGTCTCTGGGAGACTTGTCCTCAATATTTGGGTCCTCACAATGCGGGCAGCTGTCTTCTGGCCTTCCCAGAACAGGGGCTCCTAGATTTGAGGCTCCTCAGGATCTGGTCCTCTAGGAATTTTGTCTGCTGTAGGCAGGCCCCTTTAAAGGTTTGTCCTTCATGGTTTTGTTCTTTGGCGAACCTGTCCCTTCCAGCCTGGCTGTCTGATGGCGTAGGCAGCTGTGGTCCAACCCTCCTATAGCACAATTCTCTGCCCTTAGCCCCAGCAGTGATTTTGTCTACAGTGGCCAGACTTTCTGGGTACTTAAGGAGTTGTGATTTGCCTTTTTGGCAGGAATCATCTGCATGGTCCAGCTCTCCAGTGGTCCTCTCTCTGCAGAACTGGTCCTTAAGCAGTGGGTTTGGTTGTGACCAGGCTTTCTCACAGGCCAGTCCCCCATGGTCTGTGCACATGCTGGGCTCATCTGTGGTCTGGCCTGCTTCTGGGGATCTCAGTGTTTGTTTGAGAATTAGGTACTGTTGGGAGAGAACAAATACTGTAACATGTGGGCCTGCTTATACAGGCCCTAACTCCTAACCCTTCACCCATTCTAAAAGTTAGTGCCTACCTCCTTGCGACTGTTGATGGCCTGTTGTATCCACAGCAGTTCCATGGCCAAATGGCTGCGGTGAAACTGGAGCTCTTGGATCTCATGCTGGCTATGGGATGGTCCTGGACCTGTGGCTTCTTTGAAGGAGGCAAGACAGGAAGGAGAATGCATTGAGCTATAGACACTGGAAGCTGATTTAGCCCCAGACCTGGCAACCCCTCACTGCTCATGTGTTTCCTTCAACTAGGCAGGGGAGGGAGGGAGAAAAGGGTTGCAGCTAATCTGGCACATCCCTTTTACTTTTTAGACTGGGAGGCTAAGGCCCTGAGAGGATCAGGGACTTTTCCTGATCTAGACAGAGAGGTACCTGAGTTCTTCATCCTTGATGTATTTGTTTCCTCTTGGCTGGATTTCCTGCTCTGCTCAACCTGAAGCCAGAGGTTGTCATCTCTGCAGGGAAGTCTTCCTGGGTTTGTTGAACTCTCTCCTGACTTCTTCAGCACCATCTCCTCCCGGAGGGCCTCTTTCACAGACTCTTTATATGGAAAGTGGCTGCATAGTTTCTTCTCTGGACTTGGTATCCTCTTTCCTGCTTTCCAGGAGCGTTGAGATTTTGCCTTCTGCAAAACCAGAAAGGTATGATAGTCCCAGGGCTAAACCCCTGGCACCATGATCTAGCTGACAAGTTAATTAAGGAATGGGGTGTGAGGAGCAGTCTGCTGTAGAGGCCTGTCAGCTGGAAGAGTAGGTTCTATCACTCCTTTGAATTCCCTGCCAGGTCTTCCTTACTCTCCCTTCTCCCCCTGGGATGTGTACTACCTCTGGGAGAAACAGAGGCCTGGGAATTCTGCCGGCAGTCCACTGAAGCGAGCCCAAGTCGCCTTCTATCTCTTGTACAATTGCCTCATACTCAGCTCGCAGGCTCTGGAACTGGCGTCGAACCAAGAAGCCCCTGACACAGGCCTGGTGTGGAGAACGAGAGTTAGAACACCCTTGGCACTTTATTTTTTATTTTTTAATTTTGCTAATATATTTGCTTAAAAGTCCTTGGTACATTAGAAGAGGGAACATATCTTGGGGTATTCTCTGGAGACGTTATCCCGGAGACTGCAAAAATGGACATGGCCACGGGGAAAGGACAGGTGACAGTGGGCGCTGGGGCTCCAGGAATTCAAGGGAGTATGCTGGGCTTTACTCTCCTCGCTTTTAGACGCTTCCGGAACTTTCCCTGACCCACACGCTCGTGCGGGTCAAGGGTGCGGGCTTAGGGAAGTCCATGGATCTCCGCATTCTTCGGGAGTTGCAGAGGTGGGATGGCATCTCCAGAGGTTGGGTAGGGACTGACCGTGACAGCCTCACCCTACTGAAAGTAGGAGACCCTAGGTGCAACCCCGACCACCCCTCTGCCCCGAACCTGCAAGGCCGACACCTTCCGAAGTAACAATTCGGTCTCCATCAGGAAGCTAACGTCCCCTGCCGAGCGCTTGCGCAGTGCGTCCTCTGGCAGCACAGCTCCTGAGCATGCGCAGTTTAAGGCATGGAGGCCCCGCCCCGCTGCCTCCAAGGCAACCTTCACCTAGCCTGCTTTAGACTCGTCTGGCTGCCAAGCGCTCAGGCTGGCCTTCCATTCTCTTGAAGCCACTAGCTTCATCCCAATTCCTGCCCGAGCGGGGACTCCAAGCCCTCTGTGCTGTGCAGGATTATTTTATTCTGAGAAGAAAGGTGCAAGGAGGGGAAGGAAGACACGGAGCCACTTTTTTACTTTTTATTTTTGGTTTAATTCCATCCAATGTCCCCAACTTCATAGCACCTGGGGAGCTGCGAAACACCAGAGTCCGTAAAGTCATTTTTTTTTTTCCCGGTCCTGGGGCTGAAACCTAGGGCCTTGCACATGCTAGGCGAGCGCTCTGCCACTGACCTATACCCCAATTCCTTTATTAAAAATTTAATTTTGAGCCAGGGTCTAAATGTAACAGGCTGGTCTTGAACTTGAGATCCTCCTGCCTCAGTCTCTCATGTAGCTGGAATTATAGGCGTGCACCACCACGAAGGGAAGTCACAGTTTGAAGAGAATGAAAGAGGCAGTGTGGGCCTGGGTACTACTCCTATGCAGCTGACTGCTCCTCAGGCTCAGCATTCTCTGCCAGGTGCAGTTTCTGTCTGTGCCAGTCAAGGATTGTGATGCTTTGGACTTCAGTCATTCCTCTCATCAGTCTAAACATCCCCTACGGGTCTATTTTCCCCATCCGTGCAAAGGGCTGTCCCACGGTCTGAGGTTTCAGTCCCCACCTGCCCTTCTTTTTCTGAATGGTGCTGGGGACTGAATCCAGGAGCTCATGCATGCCAAACATGTGATCTATCCTGAGCTATCCTTGCAGCCCATCCTGCCTGCCCATCTTGCTAGGTCACTTATCTCTTTCTCTTTTCTTCCAGATCATGCAGGTCAGAAGAACCGGAGGACCGGTGGGGTGTGTGTGTGTGTGTGTGTGTGTGGATCTGCCTTCATGTGGACGCATGCACATTCTGCAGAGCTAAATGAGGATTAGTCTAAATTAATACATTGTTCTATATCGAAAGGGCAGGAGGACATCAGACACACTTTGCCATCATTGGTGTCAGCTGAAGTACTTGCAAAGATTTTGATCGGTAAAAAAATAATCCCTGCATTCACCTTTCTCCTAATATTTGGGTTGGGAAATTCTTTTTACATTGCCCCCAGGTAGGGGCTGTTTGTGGCTAATTCTGATTCAGTAGGACTGCAAAGGGGTGGGGATATTTAGTTATGTGTGCACACTCCGGGAGGGAGGTGAGGGGGAGGAACCTGACCTCATCTCATCCCTTCCTCATCTGCAAGACATGTACACTGTGGAGTCTTAGAAAGGATACATAGAATTACTAAGATCTTCCAGCTGTCAATAGAGAAAAGAAGGTTTCTATAAGGAATGGGACTAGAACAAAGTCTGAATGCTCTGGGGACCCTTATCTAATAGAAACTGAGGGGCTTATTGCTGTTGGATTCATGCACCCCCATCTTTTCACCAGGGACCTTGGGAGCAGGTATCTTCCCCACCCTTGATGTCCCCAGGATCCAACTCACATTGCTAAGCAGCTGGTCCAGGTTGCGGTCTGCCATAGTCTTCTTCTGCTCCTCAGGCAACCCCTCCGTGACTCCGTCCTCTTCCTCTTCCTCATCCTCCTCTTCCCCACACACATCCAGGCTGAAGTGCAGCCGGGCCAGCTTCTCCTGCATCTCTCGAACATGTTCCAATTGCTCAAAGGAGCATTCCTTCCCTGAATGGGAGCAATCCTCATTCTCAGGAACCCTGACAGTAAGCCTGGGACCTTGTTCCAGCCCCACCACGGAGACCAGGACCACCCTCCCCACCCACAGCCCCTCTCTGCACAGCCTCCAGGACTCACCGAAGGCTTGCAGCCTGCCGGAGTGGAAATCATTGAGCAGATTCAGCAGACCCCCCTCCATCTCATAGACATCAGTCACCTCAGTCAGGAAAGAGTGCTGCAAGGGCGTGCCTGCAGAGCCGCCCCCACCTCCAGCCAGTACTGGGCGGCATTTCTCCTTGCCTACTCTGTATGGAGTGTACATGACCATGAATGGGGGACAGCCAGGCGCTCCTGGATCTTCTGTGCCATCTATCTAAATCATCTGCCCATTCATTCATCAACACAAATAGAAGTTTTTTGTTCTGGCCCTGCCTGGACACTGGGATGGATAGAAGGAAGGGAATAAGTGAGGGAGAAGGTAAGAGGTCAAAAAAGAAGTCTTTCTACCAATGACATAGCCAGAGCCATGCCTGCAAGGGACTCCTGGATTTCTGTTGGAGAGCTTCAGTTACCCTCCAGTCTCCTGTGATTCTGAATGTGTTACTTGTTCCCTTTGGCTTTCAATAATTTTGGGTATAACTTTTCCTTTATTGCCACCAGACTGTCTTACCCCCACCCCCACTTCTTCTGCCCTCTTCTATAAACTGTTTTTTTTTAAATTTTTATTTTATTATTTTTTTTAGTACAAGGGATTAAACTCAGAGGTGCTTAACAACTGAGTCACATCCCCAGCCCCTTTTTATTTTTTATTTTGAGACAGGATCTCTCTAAGTTGCTTAGGACCTCATTAAGTTGCTGAGGCTGGCTTTGAATTTGCAATCCTCCTGCTTCAACCTCTGGAGCCACTGGGATTACAGACGCGCACCACCATTCCTAGCTACAAACTGTTTTGAATTTTTTGTTTCCTTAGGATAACACTGAATGCCTTGCCAACCTGGCCTTCCTTCCTTTCAAGGCTGCATTTCCTATTATTCTAAGTCCAGTCCTGAGCTTCAGCTATAGCCCACTGTAGCTGTTCCCAAACATGCCTCTCAAGCAGGAGGTATGCAAAGCCACAGGGGAAACGGTGATTTTGATTTGAACATTTGGAGAAAGAACACATTGTATTTGGTGTGAACAAACATGGACACTTTATAAGGTAGGAAACAAATTCCCAATCATTTTTAAAAATTCAGCAGAGAATTCAAATTGGGTACCCTGGTATCCCCTCTCCATTTCTTGTTCCCTGACACTCCATGGCCCCCAAAGAACCTGTGGTTCTTGGAACCTTCTAGGCAATCTCCCCCACTCACAAACACTGGAAATGGAACCCAGGCTCTTGCATATGCTTAGGCAAGCACTCTACCACTGAGCTAAATTCCCAGTCTGTGGCAATATCTTTCTCTCATTTTTAGGCCAAGCAAGCTTTCAGCTAGAATATTCTTCCCTTTTCAGTGCATCCAGCAACTTCCTTTGACTCTCTGGCAGGTTGCTCCCTCCCTCCCAAGAAGTACAGCCTCATAATATGTGATCTCAGTTATCCATCTGGCCTTTTTGCCATATGCACTTGAGGATAGGTACTGGATCTAAGTCATCTCTGAGTGCTCAGGGGTCAGCGGGAGCCAGCCCCAAGGAAGGCACCCATTATTCCTTAGTGGCTAAAGGCTGATGGCCCCCTTTGCCTTCCTCCCCCACAAGGCTCAAACCAGAGTTGAGAGTCCTTCTTCCTTGCCCTGCATCCCTTCTGTACCCACCTCTTGAACTTGGCCCGCTGCTTGGGGGATGGTAGATGAGGGAGTCCCAGGGCCAAAGAGCCACTGTGGCTAGTTGGCACAGGGACCCTGCGTAGTGTGCCTGGGGCCTGGGCTGCCTGGGTCAGGCAGGGCTTGGGACTCCTTTTCTTCTTTTTGTCATCCATTAGGTGCTGGTAAGCCTCAGGCCTGGGAAGGAAGCAACCTCATTGAGATTCTGAGGGTCAAAGTCATCCCTTCACCCAGCAATCCCTGAGAGGTGCAAAGGAAGGGCCCTGGGACCTTCCAACTTGTTTTCTCACAAATGTCAGAGTCTTTGTTCCCTTGTCTGTGCAGGGTCAGGTGCTACTGCCTGTTGCTGGGATCCTGGATGTGCATTTTAAGGACCTTCCAAGGCCCATAAGACCCTTTCTGCCTGGGCCCTGTCTGAAGGGGCTAAACCAGGATGCTACCCTGTGCTGCTGGAGTTTCCTGTCCCTCTGGCTAAAAGGGTGGGGCTGGAGAGGAAACGTAGGGAGACAGGGTGGACGTAGGGAGACAGGGTGGCCGTGAGATGGCTGGAGTACAGCTAAGACACTAAGGAGTGTCTTAGCTGGGCCCCATTCTGTTTATCAGCTGCTTCCAGGTTCTGACTAACCTGGTAGGCCTGAGAGGTGACCAGGGTGGGGGCGGAGACACCTGGGAAGGCCCTAGTTAGTGTCAAGCAGCAGTGACCCTGGATGGGTATGGGCAGAAGTCCGGGCCCACGGGGCGGGGCTCGCTGTGCTCCCGCTTCACACTGGCATCCCTCCTCTTCCACCCCGCGCCCAACCGCGAGTGCCAGGGACTCCAGAAGTTCCCAGGGACCGCTTCCAGCTGCTCCTCCTTCTCCAAGTCCCTGTGGTGCGTGGTCAGGCAGCGGGCAGCCTGGGCCTCCAACAATGGCCGCGCAGCCGCGGAGTCCGGCCACCACCTGAGCCTCCGCTCTAGGGGTCCTCTGGCGGCGGCCTCCCTCCACGCTGCTGCCACCCGCCTGACTCCTCTCTCTGGGGCGGTGAGGCGAGGTCACAGCACTGAGGCCAAATGGGACTGGGCGTGGTGGAGGGAAGACCGGCGCAGGGTCCGCCTCTTGCTGCGGCGGGGTGACCCCTTGAGGGACAGGAGAGGTCGGAAGCTGGAGCCCCCGTACCCGGGAGCGGCCGGGGCAACCCCGGCTCCATTTCCCACGCTCGGCCTCCGAAGCCAGCCCCAAACGCAGCTGCAGCCCGCGGCGCCCGCCCTGCACGCCCGCACCTCCTCGAAGGCGACCGACCTGGAGGCTTGGTGTCCCGAGCGATGCTCGAGGGCCGGTGCCCGGCGCCCTCCGCGCTCCTCCCGGGAACGCCAGCGGGTGGGAGCTAAGCTGGCGGGAGTGATTTGCATTTAAAGAGAAAGTGACCTTCTCGGGTTTGGGTTGGAGCAAGTTGGGAGGAGCGTCCCCAAATTGAGCTCAATTCTCTCACTCACCTGACCTCCTGCCGGAATTAAGGCGACCCTGTTGATCGTGCGATAACGGTTTAATAAATACTTTTCTGTCAGTTTTGGAGGGAAGGTACAGTCTCTTACAAAATGGTGGTGGCTTTGTCAGGAGAGGGGGAAGGGGGATGGAAAATAAAGAGGAGGCAGGGAGGGCTTGGAAGAGGGAGAACGTGTTAGTATCCAAGAATCTTGAAGCATTTTCGGTCTACTCAATACTCCTAACCCTGCGCTATCATTGCCACTGTCCACATTGTAGGGAAAGTAAACACTAGTCATTTCCAGGGCAACAGCACTCTCCCCACCACACCCAGATCCTGCTGGGTGGTGAGCAGTGGGGCTATATTCTGGCATCGACAAGTGCCAGGTCCCCTCCTCATCCCTCAGCCTTAGGAGATATATGTGGGGAGCCCCAGGTCCCAGAGAAGCCCACTCCATTCCCTGGCATCTGACTTCAACGCTCAGAAGGGAAACCTGAGCACCTGGAGGAGCCTGCATCAATGGGGCAGCTATTTAAAGTCCTGGCAGAGGATCCTGGCTCGGTTCCTCAGGGCATTATCTGATGCCACATGGGAGAGGCTCATTCTTGTCAGGCTACCCAGCAGGCTCAAATCAACTGGCCCAAGGCAGTGCACACAGCCACCATGTCCACTTCCCTCTCACACTGGGCAAGAGCAGCTGCCCTGGGCCAGGCATCTGGCTGAGTTAGAGAGAGAGGCCCTGCTTCTGCAGGCACTTGTGGAAGGCTCATCATTCCCAGATATATGCACTCTGAAGACTACTCTAGAAAGGGAGACATTACTTCAGGAATTTTTCAATAATTGGGAGTCAGAGGGAGAGAGGACAACAGGAAGTCCTTTTCTCCCTTACCAGAGCTGCCAAGAGTGGTGCTAGGGCTACTCCAGGAAAGTGTAGAGGGTACAGGAGCTCCCCTGCAGTTCCCACCCTCAGAAGCCTCAATTAAAAGCAGAGATGCTTTGCAGCAGCATTCCCTCATCCCTTCCAGAGATCTTTGGAACCAATGTGGCCAGCACAGAACACTTATCAAGACCTTGGCTAGAAGGGAAAGAGGCTCTGATCTTCTGGCTTGTACTGTCACAGCCAGTGGGTGGTTTACTTGCATAAGTGCAAAGCAAAGGCCCTTGAGTTGCTTCTGCCATTTGTTGGGCATACATCACGTACCATGTACCACTTTTTGAACATAACCCAGGTCCCTGAAGTAATAGGATTTTGGATGAGGCCATCAGTAGGATGTCTCAAGCTTCATTCCCAGTGAATAAACAGGGGTTAAGAAATCAGCTGAATGAGCTGGGGCATGGTAGCATATGCCTATAATCTATAACTCAGGAGGCTGAGACAAAAGGACCAAAAGTCTGAGGCTAGCCTGGACAACTTAGACCCAGTCTGAAAATTTAAAAAAGAGCTGGGGGACTGAGGATGTAGCGTTTGCCTAGCATGTGTGAGGCACTGGGTTTGATTCTCAGCACCACATATAAATAAACAAAATAAAGGTCTATCAATAACTTAAAAAAAAAAAAAAAAAGGGCTGGGGACATAATTCAGTGGTAATGTGCCCCAGGGTTCAATCCCCAGTACAAGGAAAACAATAATGGAAAATATGGTCTTGTCAAGGAATGCTTAAAAATCAAAAGGAATCGGGTGGTTCTTTTACATCCTCTTGGGTAGGCCACTGCTAGGGATGCTGCCCTGCCTTTTGCTTCACTCATGGACCCTACACATTACTGGGGATTAAACTCAGGGGTACTTTATCACTAAGCCTTTTTATTTTTTCAGGCTGAGTCTTGCTAAATTGCCCAGGCTGGCCTTGAATTTGCAATCCTCCTGCTTCAGCCTCTGGAATCATCCGGATTACAAGTATGTATGTGCTGGTTTCCATTTGAACATTCAGTGGTTCTTCCCTGCCCTTTAGATTTGACCTAAATTCCTTAGCCTGGTGCACAAGCTTGAGCCCCTAGCCTCATTTCCCTTACCCTCTAATAAGTTCACCTGGACTTCCAGGTTAATTGCCTAATTACTACATGAACTTGTCAATCATTTGCCTGCCATTCAGGTCAGAAGGCCCTTCTAGATATCTACCCCTCTCCCTTGCCAAAGGGGGCAAGGGCCTCCTCTCTGCTCCCATGTAGTACCACTGGCCTTTCCATACCTAAAAGGACCTTTTCCCTTCTTTAGTCTGTGAGCCCCCAGATGCCAGGGACAATCTTTTTTTTTTTTTTTTTTTTTTTTAACCCAGGGGTGTTTAACCACTGAGCCACATCCCCAGCCTTTGGGAAAAAAAAAAAAACGACTGGATCTCACTAAGTTGCTAAGGCTGGTCTCAATTTGTGATCCTCCTGCCTCAGGCTCCCAAAGCTGCTGGGATTAACAGGTATGCACCACTGTGCCTGGCTCAGGGACATTTTTTTTGAGAGTGAGAGAGGGGAGAGAGAGAGAGAGAGAGAATTTTTTAATATTTATTTTTTAATTCTCGGCGGACACAACATCTTTGTTGGTATGTGGTGCTGAGGATCGAACCCGGGCGCACGCATGCCAGGCAAGCGCGCTACCGCTTGAGCCACATCCCCAGCCCTCAGAAACATTTTTTGAGTGGAAAAAAAAAAAAATCATCTCACATGCTAACTTTGCCAAGGGCAAAGGCAGCTTAAGTAAATGTCAGTGTCCTGAGTCTGTGGTGACTCCCAAAAGGCAGGAGGAAACACTGGAAGGTAAAGGATGCTAGGCATAGCCATAGCCACTTTGCAGTAGATCCAGACATCAGTGATGATGGCAGGGACCAGATGTATCCAAAAACATCAAATGACCACAAGGCAAGAGAGGAATAAGTAAGGCAACAGACTCTTTATTTAATGTGGTTTAAAATACATCAATATCAAGTCCCTGGCTGTTGTGAATACCAAAAGGAGATTAACTCCCCTCCTCCCCCAAAAGCTGTCAGCACAACTTCAGACAAGTCTGGGTGGCCAGGATGGACCATAAGGAAAGCAGTTACAGGAACACAGGCAGCTCCTTCCCTAGGCAGAGTGAGAGGAGCGGGCAAATGCCTGGCTGTCCCAAGTGATCAACCCTGTGCTGTGCAAGGTGAGGGCTGGAGTACCAGTTCAGCAGGCTTCAGCCTCCCGGCACAGGGCAGCTCCACTGGCCTCTCAGTCAGTCCTTGGTAGGGCCAACATGGTGGGAATGGAGGAGGCTTAAATAACCGTCTTTACAGAAATAACATTCGTACACAAAGTGCCTGAGCTCAGCCCGTGGTCCAAAAATCTCATGGAAAACAAACAAACAAACAAAAAGTGCTGCTGACACCTCTCAAAATCTGGTGTGCACGAAGCTCTCAGCTGGACAAGGTCTTGAACATGAGTTACACATGTTCGCACAGCCAACTGCTAGGCTCTAAGCCTCACCTACTGTGGTCCCCTGGAGGGAAAACTAACAATCTAAGAAACCAACACAGCTCTTGGTCCTAAAACTGAGGTTATGTGCATGGGACTCACCTGGGTGAGGAAGGCACTGGCCCTCACTCATGGACAGGCCACCTCCCCCACATCTGGCCCAGACTCCTGGCCAGTTAGAGTGGCACCCAGGCTGACTTTGGAAAGCAGAGTGAGCAGAGCAGCTGTAGTGATTGGTAAGATTTGGTCAATGGAGAGGAAGAAAAAGAAATCCCCATCTACAGATTGATCTGGGTGCCTAGAAATGTGTGGAGCTGAGAGCCAAGGTTCCACCTGGTCCTGACCTGGAGGAGTCCAGCTGGGGCCACCTTCACACTGTAGCCTCCCATCCCATCACACTGGGATCCAACAGACCTAACCCGCCATGGGCTTTAAGAGGTAGCTGAAGTGAGGCAGGCAATTATGTAGGCCATTGTAGGCCTTTCCACTTTCTCCAAGGGGGAAGGCAGCTCTGACTCCTCTCGGCACCTCTGTAATCTAGCACACCCTCTGTGGAGTTGGCAGTTCTACACCTCAGCCTGGCACAGGGGCCGGGGAAGGGAGGCCTTATTGGGGCCAGCAGAGGCATGGAACATACCAAACACAGGGACTTCAAAGAAGGGAAGGAAAAGATCTTGGGAAAACACTTCTCCACAGGAGAGCAGATCTCAGCCAAGGATGGCAAAGACTTACTTACATTGTTGCTGGGGCATATTCAGTGAATTAAGAATATACTATGGGTTAGCAGAACACACTGTGAAGTGGATCAGTGATACCCAAGGGAAAGAGGGGTGGGATTCATTTGCCATCTCTTAAGTCTCAACATGATTCAGGACTATATAACACTCTTCATGAACCTATTTATCTGGGAGAATTTAAGTTAAGGACTAGGGGAAGATGAAGGGACCTGTGGAATAATAAACTAGTTCAAAGAAGTACATCAAGAAACAAAACCCTACCCATCCTATCTTAGTCTGAGGCTCTTAGCTCACTAGAGACCCAGCAGAGCCCTGCTTCCAAGACTCATTCTGTTGCCCCAAGAAACTGCTCTATACAAAGAGTGGTAAATACCCTGGCAGGTGTACAACAAGAACTTTCATCATACAAACTTGCTGCACAGTACTATATACTGGGTAGTGGTGGTAAACACCCATCTCCATCCATTTTATGGATTTCCAGGGCTCAGTCTATTGTTGAATCTCATTCTTTACCTATCAGACAACAACTGGGGGCTCCCACACAGAAGAGGTGGAATCCCAAGGACTCATTTCTTGGGCAAGGAGGTGTCAGGGAAACCTCAAGGATTGCACAGTTGGGGTGTCAGGAGAGCAGAAACAGACCCGTAAAGCCAAGAGGGCAGCTGGCCCTTTGGCCCAGCTGCTGCTGCATGGAGACAGTGGTGGTAGGAACCAGTGGTAGCCTCCTAAGATTGAAACCCATAGGCAAGCTTGTGGCAAAGCCATAAGAAGCTCTTTCATTTCTCTTAAATAATCTGATCTTACCAAACAGGAAACCTCAGCACCAACATGGCAAGGGAGCCAGGTAGGATGGTGAAGGGTGGAACAATGGAGGCCAGGCACCCAGTACCACTGCTACAGCACCCTCCCTTTTCCTTCCTCAGAAGATCCTCAGTATGAAGTATCAACATGCAAAACAAAAAACCTTCAGAAAGAATCCTTTGGGTGATCTCTTGTCAATCATCTGTGCAGGCTAGAGAGGCACCTGTGAATGATAAGGCTACTGAGAAGCAACATTGGCCTGGTCCTGGCACTATCAGAGGGCAGGGGAAGCAGTGCCCAAGGGGCTCCCAAACAGCACATCATCCCACAGAGAAACATTTTCCAGGTGCCTCGTCCTAGGCAGGAAAGCAGCTCAACCACGAACTCCAAGTGCCCTGCCAAGACTCTTGAGCATGGGCACCATTCCCGGGCTACAAAAAGCAATGGAGCCTCCAGGGGAGCTAGGAGAACCCAAGCCGCCCAAGCCTTGCTCACAAAGAATGCAGACTGGCCCAGGTGTTATCACCTGTCATGAGCTCTGAAGGGCTGGGAGGGGTATGAGCCTCAAATTAGGCAGGGAATCATTCATGTCACTTGTCTTGCCAGCATTCTGTGATGGCAGCTACAGATGACAATGCCTCTATGAGATTCACTAGCTCACAATGAACCTGGCAGGTGTACAACAAGAACTTTCATCATACAAACTTGCTACACAGTACTATGTACTGGGTAGTGGTGGTAAACACCTGTCTGCAGCCATTTTGTGGATTTCCAGGGCTCTGGAAAGCCACTGACTTCATCCGTACACCCCACCCTCAATGCAAGCCCAATGTACACATATGTCATATATATGTAAAACTGACCCACAAAATCCAAAATTGCCAAGTATCAGATGCCAGCCAGGTCAGAACACCCTGGCCTCAGCACTGGGCTGCTTAGCATGGGAGCCTTGTATGGACCAGGCCTGGCTGAGCTGCTGCTCCCTTCCCAGCACACCCCAAGCACCAGGCTCTCTAGGCGGTGGCAGAGGTGGGCTCCTGGGGCCCTGTATGGACTGATTCTTCTGTGGATGGTGTTCCTGAGCAGCCAGGAACTTCTGTGGCCCTTGGGGAGTTGGGTGATTGAACCCCAGGCCCCTCGCCAACCTGCTCTTTGGAGACAGGGGCTGCCTCTGGCCTCTGCTCAGGGCCACTGTCAGTGAGGAGGCCGTGGCCACCAGCACTCAGGTCCTGTACCCTTTTGTTCAGGTCATTCCGCTCTGTCTGCAGTGCCCGGCATAGCTTCTCAAGCCGCTGGATTTTCACCTGCAGGCCCTCCAGCTCTTTGTCCCGAAGTGTTTTCTATGGAGAGAAATGGGTTCTTCAGTAGTAGTGAGCAATCTCCCACCTCACTGCCACTTAGTTGGAAACATTCAACAAGGCTGGGAGCAGCCCAGTCAAAAGCTGGCCCCTTACAGTAAATAGCCCTGGTTATGCTATGGCTTGGCTATCACCTGGGGGTAGTATGGTACAGAGAAGGGGCATGGCTTTGTTAGACAATGTATTCCTCCAGTTTCTACCAGATGACCTTGGCAAAACATTTATTTTTTGAGCTTATCTCATCTGTAAACAGGACTCTTAACACCAACCTTATGTCTCAAGAGAGGGTTCAGTGAACTGGCATATCTAAAACATTCAGCTAGGGTTGGAGTTTTGGCTTAGTAGTAGAGCACTCGCCTAGCACATGTGAGGCCCTGGGTTCAATCCTCAGCACCACATAAAAATTAATTAATAAAATAGAGGTATTGTGTCCAACTACAACTAAAAAATAAATATTAAAAAAAAAAGTAAAAAACAAAACATTCAGCAAGACTGGTCTACAGTAAGTGTTTCATCAGAGTTAGCTCCTTTCTTTAATACCATAAGCCACAAAGTAAAATTATCTGGGCTGCTCTGCATGCAAACCACATGAATCACTGACACTCCTAATTTTTCTGCTTCTTCAACCTATTTTTCCACTTGCTCCCTGGGGTTCAACTGCAGACTTACCATGGGGCTCACCACCTCCCTTTGGGAATAGGAATACTGCCTTTGAATTTGGAGAGACATACACAGGAATCCAGTTCCACTTCACACTAGCAGTCACCGACTGGCAGAACATAAAAGAGCCTAATACACTGCATCCCCTGCCCCGAGCTCCAGTCACCCTCTACCTACCTCCTCAGCCATCTCAAGCAGGGCCTTGTTGCTACTCTCCCATCGGGACCGGTACATGGTAGTTTCTTTCTCCAGCTTCTTGATCTTCTTAGTCATCTGAGTTACATGATAGATGGAAGGAAGGAAATGGTCAGAGCTGGGCTACCTAAGAATCTGTCTCCAAAGTGGGGAAAGATCATCACATCTGTGCCACCTCGCAGTTAGGAAATCTCTAGTTAAATGTCTACTGCTGGGGGTATATTCAGCGGTAGAATGCATGCTTAACACATACAAGGCCCAGGATAAAAAGGTCCATTATCAGGGCTGGTGATGTAGCTCAGCAGTAGAGAGCTTGCCTATTACATTCAAGCCTTGGGTTCCATCCTCACCATCCCCAGGACAACACACAGACACACACATATAAGGTCAGAGTACCCCTCCTCCAGGGTGAAAAGGCTGTGATAGCTCTCTACAGATATCAATCACAGTAACTATGTACAGCTTCCCAGGAGGCCCCATGGAGTGGGGGCAGATTCCATGTTCAATTCAGCAGCCACACATGGTCTAGACTATCATTACCTTTTCCATTTCCTGTTTGAATGTGGTGAATACCTCACTGCTTTTGGAAAGAGTGTTCTGGAACTCCTCAAACTTCTCTGTGTACAGGGCAAGCTGGTGAGAAAGAAATCCACATGTAAGACTGGGCTTCTCTGGAAGGTATCTCTGATCAATATACTCAGACCTCTCTGGCCCTTTGATCCAATAACTGCGTTCAGATATCGTTTTCCAGTAAAACAAATAAACAAACAAAACAAACATGTATTTGGAAGGATAAATCCAAAATGCTAAATTTGGAAACGAAGATTTGGAGTGATTTCAAAATATCAAGATCCCCCCACTTTTGACAAACTTCTGTCCCCATCTCCTCAAAAGCAACACAACTTTCAAGCTAGGAATGAAGTCCTCCGAGTTCATTTAGCTACCTGGTCACCACCACAGAGGTGCAATCAAGAACAAAGGTTCAGTCAAGGTCACATAGCAATCTAGGCAGAGCTACTTCTAGAATGAAGGTCCCATTTCACTACCCCCAGGGTCAGGTTCCACTACCTTACCTGCTGTTTCAGGTGGGTCTCCTGCTGCTTCATCAGCTCACACATCCTCTGGGATTCCACTGCCTCTTTCAGGAGCTATTTATTTCCAAGACAGAATCCCAGACATTGTCAGAAGCTCCAGGGGCTGTTTGGCCTTTTTTCTACAAGCACTGACCTCACTGAGGCTACCTGCTCTTAGATTGTTGTATGGGCAACTGACTGGACTAGCAGGCAACAACTTGTCATCAATACAAAGTCGATTCCAAGCTGCACCAGAACCTATCCCACCACTTTATACCCTCCCCCCACCCCAGTCCTGGGACCTGAGCCTCACAAAATCCTTCTCCCGCTGGTGCCGCTCCTCTGCCTCCTTCAGCATCTCCTGAGCCTGCTGGAGCTTGGCATCCACCAGCTGCTGCTGCAGGTCCTTGTGTTTGAAGACTTTGTCAATATGCTGCAGGTAAGATGATGAGAGGGTTCTGCACGTTAGGAGCTCCCTTTCTCAAGGAGGCCCCATCCATAGACCAGGCATACTGCCTAACCTTCATCATGATCTGACACACTGGACTTCAACAACATGTACAAGATGTGGGCCCCATGTACCAAGATTATGGTCAACATCCCAACTTCACCTGGTTTCTCTTCCATTGAGATTGACTAGGGCAAGCTTAGGGGTTAATGACTGGAATTAATTCCAGGAAGCCAAGCAATCAATACACTCAAACCTCTGGCTCCAAGACTGACCACCTCATGGAGCCAGCATTCTTCACGTTTGCAGTCCCTGACTCCCTTGTAAGTGGGAAGAAAGGGCAAAGTAGCACTTCTACGAACAGTCTAGCTCATTTGGCAGAGAACTGCCATTTCTATAGACAAAGACTAGACCATGCATCTCAAGGAATAGCTGTCTTAACTGTTGGAGGAGCTCTGGGGACCTCAGTTCAGAGAAGGATGGAGAAGGTGATACACTCACAGGTTACTTTGAAGGTAAAATCCCCTGGACTTACTGAATAAAAGGGATGTAGGGAATCTATTTTTCAGATGGAGAAGGGAAGGTATCTTGAGGACAGGTCCAGTATGGGAAAGGATGAGTTCCAGTCACCTGTGATCTAAAATTCAGAGGCTCAGGAGGAGCAGGTGGGAATACTCGAACCTAGGGAGGGGAGTGAGAAGCTACAGGGCCTGATTGACTTGCATCTCCTCCTCCATAGGCAACATTAAATCCTTCAGCCTTGGGGGAAGGAAGGAGAGATTCCTCAGATTCTTGGGAGGTGGTACTTCACTCTAGTGGCCCAGAAAGACTTCATGTCTCTGGGAGCTCAGGGCCCAAACCAGACTAACTCCCCTCAAACCACAAGCATCCTTTCCCCCAAGGAACAAAGAATTAAGGGGTGGGTCAAGGATTCCCCTCTAGGTCCTGTACAACACAATCACAATACTGAAAAGCAATCCCAAGAGAGCAGGTCCTGCCTATATCCCGCTAGGCACCTGGTTCAAAGAAGGTCCCCAGCCAGGCCTGTAAGGTAGCTGCACATTTCCCTTCTCATGACCAGAAAACACATGACTGGCAAAAGGGACTGAATGTTTTAAGTGCCTGCTACAACAGCCAATGTTAGCCAAGGTAGGGACACCCTGACCTTCCAAGTGGCAGGGGCAGCCAAGCAGCACGCAAATCAGTGGTTATATCCCCTGGATTCCATACCTACTACAGGTCCAGCATTTCCCCTGGAATTCCAAATTCCAAAAAGCCTAAAAAACATTGGGGATGTAGCTCAGGTGTAGAGCTTTTACCTAGCATGTGGGATCCATGGGTTCAATCTCCACTAACACAAAAAATAAAAATGAAATAAGAAAAGTTCTGAAAACTGAAATACCAAAATCTGCCAGTCAAACCTCAAATGTACCACTGTAAACCTATTTATAATCTAGGGAAGTATCTAGAAGTTTCAATGCTAAAGTGTCTGATTTGGAGGTGCTGCCCCAAGCTTTGCTGGAGGTATACCACACACCTCCATTTTAAAATGTGGATAGTTTTAACTCAAACAGATACATGGCCTTGTTCTTTAAAACAGGAACTGTGAACTGTGTGGTTGTAGGCTGGTCTCTTCTCCAACCGAAGTTTATCATCTATGAGGAATAATATTCCTCTTTTCAAGGAAGGAGGAAGAATGGAATGAAGACTGAAGTGTGCTGCTTTAGTACCCAGCACACACCAAGAGCCTCACAATCTGATGGTCACCACTGTTATCCATGACAACCTCACCTCCTCTCGAAGTTCATACTGCTCAATTAGTTTCTTAAGCCTCTCAGCCAACTCCATATTCTCCTGGCGCAGTTTGGAGTTACGCTCGTTATGCTGTTCCATCTGCAGCTGAATGTCATTCAGTGTCACTTGGAAATGTGAGGTCACCTCCTTGCGCTTCTCCTCTTCCTCTCGGGCACGCTGCACACCTTCTTCCTGGGCAGAGAAGCCAGCCCAGCATCATCATCCACTGTTCCCTAGCCAGCAACACAAGGCTCCCACAACTATCCCACAGGGATCTGTGCCAAGAGCCCTCTCTGCCACTAAGCCTGGAGCCAGGCTGCAGGATGTCATTCAATGATGTTTCCTAATGTAGCCCTCTGTAAATCAATTGATATCCAATGAAATTCCCTGAAAAAATGCAGCTACATTTTGAAACAGCTTAGACCTCCTAAATTCTCCAGAAAAAATATTTTAGATATTCTTTTTGTTGGCAGTATTGGGAATTGAAGCAGGTCTTCATGAAGGCTAGACAAAACCTCTACCACTGAGCTATATCCCCAGCACCCTCTAACTCTCTTAAATTTTTGAGATGGGATCTCACTAAGATTGAGTTGCTCAAAAAGGCCTTGAACCTTTGATACTCCTGCCAAAGCCTCCTAAGTAGATGAGATTACAGCTATGTGCTACTCCACCTGGCTGCAGATTAAGTATTCCTGTTTTAATGTGCTTTTATCTTCCCTGAAACCCCAGAAAGCAAGTTGTTAAAAGTTAATAATACCCAGGGCAATAGAATAGTATAAAATTAGACAATCAGATATTGCTGGTTGGGATATACTGCCACCTCATTAGAAGGCAATCTAAACTGGGCAGTGGGGCTTGCTTATAATCCCAGTGGCCCAGGAGGCTGAGGCAGGAGGACTGCAACTTCAAAAGCCAACCTCAGCAATGGCAAGGCACTAAGCAACTCAGGGAGACCCTGACTTTAAATAAAATACAAAATAGGACTGAGGATGTGGCTCAGTGGTCGAATGCCTGAGTTCAATCCCTGGTACCCTCCCTGCTCTCAAAAAAGGCAATCTAGAAAAATCTATTAAAAAATGTGCATAGTCTTTGACCCAGCTATTTCACTTATGCAATTTATCCTACAAATTCTACATAAATGGCTGTGGATATATACAATAAGAATTTTCATTGTAGCTCTCTATGTAATCATGAAAAATTGGAAGCCGGATGTGATAGTGCATGCCTGTAATCCCTGTGGCTCAGGAGACTGAGGCAGGAGAATCAAAAGGTCAAGGCCAGCCTCAGCAACTCAGCCAGGCCCTAAGGAGCTTGGCAATACTCTGACTCTAAATAAAATAGAAAACAAAAGGGCTGAGGATGTGGCTTGGTGGTTAAGGCCCCTGGGTTCAATCTCCAGTTAAAAAAAAAAACAAAAAAAACCAAGTTGGAAACAACTCTAGCCTCAGCAACTTTATGATGCCCTAAGCAACTTAGTGAGACCTTGTCTCAAAAAAAAAAAAAAAAAAAGGAAAAAAACAAAACAGGGCTAGGAATGTGCCTTAGCAGTAAAGCACCCTTGGGTTCGATTCCCAGTACCAAAAGAAAAGCACACATATATCCACCCAACACTGCTGTAAAAAAAGAATGATATTGCTGCATGAACAGAGAGGAAAAAAATAAGATGTTATATAAAGTGACAAAAAAAAGAACAGTATATGCTGGGAGCAGCGGCACACATGCCTGTGACCCCAGCAGCTCAGGAAGCTGAGGCAGGAGGATCGAAAGTTCAAAGCCAGCCTCAGCAAAAGTGATGTACTAAGCAACTCAGGGAGACCCTGTCTCTAAACAAAATACAAAATAGGGCTGGAGATGTTACTTAGTGGTAACATGCCCCTAAGTTTAATCCCCAGTACTACAAAAAATAAAAGTAAATTTTATATATACTTATATATATATATTATATATACATATATATAATTTGTATGTAAAACTTTACTTTTGTCACCTTTAATAAATTTATATTATTTTACTTTTTGCCGCAGTACCGGAGACAAAGCCGGTGTACTCTACTATTGAACTACAACCTAAGCCCTTTTTATTTTTTTTTGAGACAAAGTCTTGCAAGTTGCACAGGCTGTCCTCAAACTTGTGATCCTCTTGCCTCGGGTTCTCGAGTAGCTGGAATAACAGGTGTGCAACACTGTAAATTTAGTGGCCCATGCCTACAATCCTGGCAACTCAGGAGGACGAAGCAGGAGGATTCTGAATTTAAGGAGGATTCGGAATTCTGAATTACATGAATTTAAGGCTAGCCTGAGCAATTGGGCAGGCTGTCCCAGAATAAAATTCAATAAAGTGCTGGGACTATACTTTAGTGGCACAGTGCTTACTTAACATGCTTAATCCCCTGGGTTCAATCCTAGAATAGACAAAGAAAAACAAGTTGCAATACACTGTATATTCATATTCAAATTCTATAAGAAATATAAAAACTTGGGAGGATATATGCAAAAACCTATTTTGCTGCCAGGTGTGATGCCACATGCCTATAATCCCAGCAGCTCAGGAGGTTGAGGCAGGAGGATTGTGAGTTCAAAGCCAGCCTCAGCAATGGTAAGGTATTAAGCAACTCAGTGAGACCCTGTCTCTAAATAAAATATAAATTAGGGCTGGGGATGTGGCTCAGTGGTAGAGTGTCCCTGAGTTCAATTCCCAGTACAAAAACAACCAACCAAACCCCTATCTTGCTGACATGGTAGTAACAAGGCTTTAACCACACTGACCCCACCCACCCTAGGAGTTGCCCAGGATCCAGGATCCTAATAATCTCTGAGATAAGCACTGGATATCTGCTTAGTAGTTGCTATAGTTTAGATTTTTGTCCCCTGTAAAGATTTATGTAGTAAAGGCTTGGTCCCCAGTGTGGCACTAGTAGAAAGAGATGGGGACCTAGCCAGATGCTGTGACATATGGCTATAATCCTAGCTACTCAAGGGGTTGAAGCAGGAGGATCCCAAATTTGAGGCCAGTGTGGGCAACTTAGTGAGACTCTCTCTCAAAATTAAATAAATAAATAAAATAAAAAGGGCTAGGGGTATAGTTCAGTGGCAGAGTGCTTGCCTAGCATGCATAAGACCCTGAGTTCCATTCCTAGTTCTATTTAAAAAAAAAAAAAAAAAAAGAGGTGGGGCCTACTGAAATATCTTTAGGTCATTGGAAGTATGTCCCAAAAGGGGTTGGTGGGACCAGTGGCCTCTTCCCAGCACTGAGGTGAGCAGTTTTGTTCTGCCTTGCCTTCCCCTCAGGCCTAAGTTGATTATCTCAGGTATTTGTTATAAAAAGGGAAAGGTGACTAACAGGATGGGACTGCCATCTAATTGAGAAATACTAAGACCACTGCATTTCGAGTTGTCTTAACCTTTACCTTATTCAAGACAAGTACATGTCAATGGTTGCAGTTCTCTTGAAGGTGGGGCATTACTGGATGTGAAGTGTTTGTATAATGTGAACCTACACTACTTTTTGAGGGGAAAGCCAATCAAAGACCAGTGATCAGAGAGAGAGGCCCCCTGGCCTACCTTGAGGGAGCGATTGTGCCTTTGCAGCTCACGGCACAGACTCTCAAGCTTGCTGCGGGCCAGGACAGCCTTGCTATGCTCCCCGCGCAGGTGGTCCTTCTCTTGTACCAGTTGGCTCTGTTTCTTCTGCAGGAGTTTCATCTGCTTCTGTGAATTCCGATGTTCTTCCAGCTGGGGATAGGGAGGACACTGAACACCTGGGGCAGGGGGGAGATGTCTCCTTATGGGGATTATGTAGCTCTAAGAACTCCTGAGCTGAGCACTGGCCTATCCCCAGACACCAGATGAAGCAGCTCAGGCCAGGAGAACTCTTATAGGCCCACAATGTTGGTGATCTATATGCTCCTCCTGTGAATTCCTCACATTAACTCAAGGGTCCATCTTAGGAATATAGGAATGCACACTCACTATGACCAGTAAGGTCACACAACCAGCAGATCAGCTTCTATCCTAGCTCTGACTTTAGGTATAGAATTCTCAAGATACGTCAGACCACTGCATGGCCCCAACTTGCTGGACACTCTCACACTATGATGAAATTACCTGCTACCCCACCTCAGACACATTCACAGACCCTATTGCTGCCTCTAATTCCTCTCAGACTTCAGTTCTGGTTCACTCTTTTTCTCTACACAATTCCTATTCTCATTTTTGGTTATTTCAGTATCAATAGACAACTGTGATTCCTGGGCCTGACAGTCCTTAACCTCTTTCCCTGGCCAGATTATCCAAAATGGAGGTTATTTTCTTCTTCTTTTTACTCTGTGATACTGGGCATCATGTAGGCCAGGCCAAGTGCTCTACTACTGCGCTACATACCCAGCCCAAGGTGATTTCCTTTTTATTTTAGTTATTAAAAAAATCCCATTAGTCAGGTTATGATTGCCCCCATTTTCCAGACAAATTTCTTCCAGAACAGAATAACCAGTTATATGTGGATGGAGGGACTCGGGTTGTGGCTCAGTGGTACGGCGCTCGCCTACCAAGTATGAGACCCTGGGTTCAATCGTCAGCACCACTTAGAAATAAATAAAATCAAGGTTAAAAAAATTTTCTTTAAAAAGAAATGTGGATGGAATTAAAGAATTCTAAAATAGGTAAACAGCAATAATAATAATAAAATAAAATAAAATAGGTAATGACCATTAACAGATGAACCTGTTAATTCAAATTCTGATGTGAAACCTGTCCAGAGGGATTTGGCTGACCCCTTTGAATATAGTCAACACTTTCAACACCAAAAGAGGGAAGACTACACTTGGTATTTCTTGTGATGCTACAAGAAACAGAGTATACTACCTAAGAATAATTATTTTTGCAAATGTTGAACCTCAATTGCATCAAATTTTTAGAGCTAACTTCCATTTTACTTAGTGGAACTACGAAGGTAAAGGGACAAGTTAAATGCTACTACAAAGACAATAAAGGTAGAAATAATGCCTCATACAGGACAATTAAACTGGTTCTGCAATACACTTGATTTCATAAAGAAAAAAAACAAGAGGCAGTGAGATGAAAAACTGCTCTGGAGGAAAAAGGGAAATAAATAGCAAATGACTAGCATTAATTTTGTTAATGTGATAATGGCCCTATGCATCTCCTTATTTTAGGAAGATGTATCCAAAAGTACACTATGGCAAGATCACATAGAATTCGACAAACTAGGAGCTAGGTAGGGCTCTACCACCTGGGAATTGCTCTTTCAGAAATTTCTTTTAAGCCAGGCATGGTGGTGCACGCCTATAATCCCAGCAGCTTGGGAAGCTGAGGCAGGAGGATCTCAAGTTCAAAGGCCAGTCTCAGCAACTTAGCAACTCAGCAAGACCCTGTGTCTAAATAAAATATAAAAAAGGGCTGGGGATGTGGCTCAGGGGTTAAGCACCCTGGGTTCAATCCTTAATAACCCCCAGCCCCCAAAAAAATTTCTTTTAAGAAATGCAAAGTTTTGCCAGGCATGGTGGTACACTCCTGTAATCCCAGTGGCTCGGGAGGCTGAGGCAGGAGTATCAGAAGTTCAAAGCCCCAGCCTCAGCAAAAGTGAGGTGCTAAGCAATTCAGTGAGAACCTGCCTCTAAATAAAATACAATAAGGCTGAGGTTGGCTCAGTGTTGAGTGCCCTTGAGTTCAATTCTCAGTACAATGTGAAGTTTTACCTCATTGTTAGCACTAAAGTGGGGGGATGGGAATTGACTCCGATTTAATAGATGAGGGAAAGGTTCAGAGAAAGGTTGAACAGGAATTAAGCTAGTCACTTGCCCCACATAGCCCTATGCCAGGTGGTCTGTTGACTTTACAAAGGCAGGGGGATGCCAGTGGAAGGGGCAAACTGACCAGTTCAGCATACTTCTTGCACAGAGCTGCCAGCTTCTCCTCTGGGGTGCTTAGTGTGTTCAGTGTCTGCATCAGCAACGTGATCTCCTTCCCTATAAAGCAAAAGGAGCAAAGGTAGATACCCCCTTCTCAGGGCTCACCTCCCCTCACCCATTCTCAGGCTCACACTTATGAGCACTGAGGTAACCCTCCCCTATCACACTTTCTGTTTTGCCTGTTGGCCACGTTCTCTACTAGACTAGGTGCTTCAACAAGGTTGGAACCAACTGAATCCTGCACATCATTGCAGCATCAGTAGTGTCCATAGTCTCACCACAAAGCATGTGTTCATTAATGAATGCTTATTAAATAAAGGACTGAATTTTTGTGGAATCCCCTTGGTTGAGTAGCACTAGTAGGAGGAAAAAACTGCCTTCTCTACCAAATGACAAAAGGTGACCTAATGCTACTGTTTCAATGCAAGGATGGCCTTTCTGACAGAGGTAGCAATAAGAGTCCTGGTCTCCTTGAGAAATTAACTCCTGCCAACAAATGTAGCCAAATGGTGAATTTTAAAATGAATATCCTTTCCATATATGTGGTCCTAAGTATTTAAAAAAAAAAGTTAGGGGAATAGGGACTACGACAGGGACCTAACCTAGATTCTTAAACACATACGCACAGCTGTTGAACTGTCACTGCTTTTTCCTTACTGTCTTGTGCCTGAATTATGGAGCCTTCCATCTGCCTCCCCTGAAGGCCTCTTCTGTACACAGCATAGACCAGGCTCCTGAAGTGTTAGCCCTGGAAGGCCTGAAGAAATCATCATGAAAACTGCTAGCCAGTGACAGAGGCCCAATTCAACCCACAGATGGGTTTTATTTGGTTTCTACTACTTTAGTTGCCTTTTGTTAAGCTATTCAGTTGAGTGCATGCAACTGTGGCTGAATCAGGTTGAATCAGGCCCACTCTTGGTTCTCATAAGGCCTCCTGTCTAATTTAGCTTATCCAGACAACTGGGTTTTGGTTTTCAACCCTTGTTTAGTCCAATTCTCTTAATGTAGATGTGGATATTAAAATCCAAAGAGATAAAGGACATGCCCAAGGTCACATAGCAGGTTAGAAGTGGTGCTCAAGAGTCTATCTAGGACCCTGTGTTGTGGCGCACGCCCTTGATCCCAGTGGCTCAGGAGGCTGAGGCAGGAGGATCTCGAGTTCCAAGTGAGGCACTAAGCAACTTAGTCAGACCCTGTCTCTAAATAAAATAGAAAATAAGGCTGGGGATGTTGCTCAGTGGTTGAGTGCCCTTTAGTTCAGTCCTCAGTTCCATCCCCTTCCCCCTCAAAAAAGTCTATCAAAGGCTCCTGCTCTTCATTTTCTCAGCAAGAGAACCAGCTAGATTTTAGCCCCACTTGCTCCCAAGACCAGGAGGCTTTGAATAAAGAATATCCAGCATCCCTTGCCTTGATTAAACTATGGAAACCAGCTGCTCTGAGAAGTAAACTTCTCTGAATTCTAGCAGGGCAGGCTAGTTCCATGGAATGCCAGAACCAAACTCCCTCCCCTCACTAGCATTCCAAAAAGCTGCCCTTTCTCACCCAGACCCTTGGCTTTCTTCTTCTCCTGTGGCCTTCGGTGGTCCCGGTCTCCAACCTCATCATTTGCACGGATTTCTTCTGTGCATGGCTCTCCCTTGGAGGTTTCCTTCTCGCCATTGACTACAGGGGTTCCTGGCTCAGGCTCCCCATTCCTTGCTGCATATGTCCGGGACTTCTCTGCATCTTCAGGTTCAGCTGGCTCACTCTGTGCTCCATCCTCCCCTGGGCCCCCCTGATTGTTGTCAACACAGTATGTACTCAGGATATCCTCCAACTGGCGGCTCAACTCCTCTGAGACATCACGGAGGGCCCCAGACTGAACTGCTTTGGCTTGAGCCCCTTCAGCAAGAAAAAACAAGAGGTAGAATGAGAAGTAAGATGGTTACGCTATGGGTTGGCATTTTTTTCAGACCCAAACTCACTAGTTTGGGTTAAATGTTGTCTAACTTCTTTAAACCTCAGTTTATTAACTTACAAAATGATTTACCTATTTCTTACTACCACCCAAATATGTTATGAGCACAGGAGAAATCAAACATTAAGTATCCAACACATAGGGCAGGGCTGGCATAGAGCAGGAGCTTCTAATCCATCTCCTTCCCTTCAAAAGCTAGGTCTTGCTATTCAAATAGTTCTAGAAATGCCTCCAATATTAAGGACAACTACCCAATGGTGACTGAGGTATATCTAGTGGGGACACTGCTTTGCTGACGGTTGTCTCATTTGGACGCCACCTGATTAAATCCTGCCAGAGCCTACTCCCAAGAGTTCTGTTCCAGGTCTTAAGAGGGAAGGCTCTACCATGTCCCCATGGGGCTCGCACAGAAGGGGCACTATCTCCTCCCACTCGGTATTTCCTCCTTTCTGGGTAAACAGTGGCCTCAACCTCTAACTCCAGGAGCAAGGCTGGTACCATAAACCCCTCCCCCTGCCCACGGAAAAGCAGAGCTGGCACACACCCTCCGTCTTCCCAGGCGCCTGGCTGGTGGAACCTTCAGCTTCTGTCGCAGGTGCCGACTGGCTGGGCCGCCCCTGGGGTCCCTCTGGTCCTGTTTCCGGCTGCCCGGGGCTGCTTTTTGGGTTGGACTGTTTGGCAGCCCCATTCTTTTTGTCTTGGTTCTTCATTGTGATTTGTAATGCTAGGTTAGAGGCAGACCTTTAGAAACACACACACTTGCTATTTTCCAGACTTCCAAATTCTTCGCAGCCTGGACCAGGAATTCCAACACCAGGCGCACAAAGCTTCTGCCAACAAACAACCTGGTCGGACTTCGCCGGAGGGAGTCAATGGTACTCGGTTTCTGGCCAGTCAGGGGGCCCTGGCGGGCCCTGGCAGGCTGTCGGGGCGCTGCTCCTGAAGGGGGTGAGGAAAGAGGCCTCTTTTCTCCCAGAGCCACTTCCCGGCACGAACACGGCCCCCTCACCGCAATCCTAGCGCGGGATTGGCTCCCGGCCGCAGACTGACGTGGCGGGACGCTCGAGTCCCGACCCCTCCCCCGCCCCCCAGGCCCCACGTGGGCCTCGCGCGCGCGCGCGCGTAGCCACCCACGCCCCGCGCGCCCTTCAGCCGCGCCGAACGCCCGCGCATGCGCAGGACGACCGCCTCGCTACAGCCCACGCACGGAATTGACGCGATTCCCTCAGTAGCCGATGTGTCCGGGCCCATAGGCCCTTTGACACTCTCGTCCTACCGACCGCAGCTGTACTCACCTCACCGCCGACGTCGGACGGCGTTCCCCGCTCTGGCCTAGTACCGGAAACCCCGGGTAACCGCTGCCGGCAGGCTGCCTGCTCTTACTGCAGCCAATCAGCGGCCGGCGCTGGCGCGGAGGTTGCTGGGAAAGATGGATGAAGGCGGCCTTTGAGGCGGGAGCGTAGCGGAAGCCGGGGAGGGAAAGACTACCCGTCCCTCCATGCATCGGGGTTAGTCACAGCTCCCAAGATGCAATAGAAAGGGCTTTTCGTCCCGGGAGGCAGAATACCTTGGAAGTCCGAAAGGCGCCAGTCATTCTCCACGGGTGCCCACTCAGCCTCGTTTCTATCGCGCAGACACTGCGATTCGGCCCCCAAACCCTTGCGCCTACCTTTTGTTTTCTGCACGACTCCATCAGCCCTTCTTCCTTGGCCACACACATCCTTGACTACCCAGGAAATCTGTGAGCTTGAGGGAGAGTTCCGCGCGGGGAATCAGATCTGCAGTCCAGGGTTAATCACTAGTTTGCTATGGGCATTCATTTTCTTTTCCTTACCGCCCCGGAGGCTTTGGGCGCCAATAGTGTGCTTTCCCAGTATCTCAGCCTCCCATTTGGCTGGCATTACAGTGGCTGGAATCACAGGCTTGCGACGCTGCACTTAGCCAAGATTCACCTTTACCAGTAGCTCCATCCCCAGTTATTCCAGATAAATAATTTTTGTCCTGTAATGTGGGGGTGGGGGACAGTAAGATAAAAGCTAGAAAACTTTTCCAAGGCCGCATAAATATTGACTGGCCAAAGCAGGGATTCAAACCAGGAAGTCTGACACCCATCTTAGCTACTTGCTACCCTGCCTTTTACTCAGAGAAGAAATAACCACCATGGCCATCTTTCCCTAAAGTGAAGTTCAGGTAACTTGTAAAAGAACATTATTTTTTTCCTCTCTCCATCACCAGTTGGCAGCCGATCAATTAGGAAGGGGTCCTTGCATGAGCATTTTGGCCTCAGGTAGATTCATAAGGCTTTTCTTTGGCTCACTCTACAAAGTTCAGGTTGCACATGAACTAATGCTGAAAAAGGCCAAACATTCTTTCCAAAGAAAGATCCATTCTTTATTCTCACTGTCTATAGATAACGTAATGAAGCTCAAAAATCTTACACCTGGAATTTGAATTTAATTCCTGTTTGGTTTCTGTTTCCAGTCAGTTCTCTCCATCCCCTGTCTTTTTTGCTGCAATTTTCACTGTTTCCAGGGTGTTTCAGGTTTTTGCAGGTGTTCTTCCAAAATGCCCTTGTGTAAAAAGAGAATCTTTATGAGGTCCAGCTCAAAGGTCACTTCAGAGCCTTCCCAGTGCTGTGTAATCTCTCCTAGCTCCCTAGCTGTGTATAGAGTTCTATTACAGCATCGGTAGTGGTGTTGAAATTACTGTTTACTTACAAATCAGTGAACTTTCCAAGAACTGGCTAAATGCTTTAGTCCCAGAGGTTCTCACCAGGCTGTAGGTAGAGTATGTTGTAAATTGTGCCAAATAGTCATTGTTTTAGAACTTTTTAAAAAACATTTTTAATATGTTCTCATTAGTTATACTTGACAGTAGAATGCGTTTTGACACATTGAACACAAATGGAGTACAGCTTCTCCTTCCTCTACCTGAATATGGTACAGAGTCGTTTTAGGTCCAATGTTCTATAGAATCTTCCAAGTTTTTGGCAGCTCCAAGATGCTTTTATTTATTTTTTTTTCCCTTTGTAAGGCAGGGGGCAGGTTGTTTCTCCCTATGTTGCCAAGGCTCTCCTGGAACTTGAGATACTCCTCAGCCTCCCAATTGGCTGGCATTACAGTGGTTGGGATCACAGGCATGCAACGCTGCACCTGATTAAGATTCACCTTTCCCAGGAGATGATAAACTCAGAAAGATTTGGAATCCAGGTCTGTTAAAACCAAGTCCCTGATTACTTCCAGAAAAACATATGGGAAATCCCTCCCCATGGCAAGGCAATGCTGTGGATCAAACCCAGGGTCTTATGCATACTAGACAAACACTCTACAAGTCTGGAAATGTCCTGAAGGGTCAACATATAAATCAGGCCCTGATGGGTTTGCATAGGAAGTAGGTGTTACAGACCAGATAATCTAGTAAAAGCTGAGTGTGGTGGTGCAGGCCTGTAATCAGCTCCTTGGGAGGCTGAGGCAGGAGGATCCAAGTTTGAGGCCAGCCACAATAACTTCTAGACCCTGTCTCAAAATGAAAGATCAAAGGCTGGGTGTGGTGGGGCAGTCCTGAAATCCCAGCAGCTCCAGAGGCTGAGACAGGAGGATGGTGAGTGCAAAGCCAGCTTCATCAAAAAGCGATGCACTGGGGGCTGGGGTTGTGGCTCAGAGGTAGAGTGCTCACCTAGCATGCATGAGGCACTGGGTTTGATACCCAGCTACCACATAAAAATAAAGATATTGTGTCCACCTATAATTAAAAATTTAAAACAAAACAAAAAAGCAAGGTGCTAAGCAACTCAGTGAAACCCTGTTTCTAAATAAAATACAAAACAGGGCTGGGGAGTGACTCAGTGGTTGAGTGCTCCTGAGTTCAATCTGCCCTTACCGCCCCTCCCCCTAAATAAAAGAAAAATCAAGACAGCTAGGGATGCATTTCAGTGGCATCCCCCTCCCAAACAAAAGTCACTTTCTCCAATTAAGCAATATATATGCACAATGTTAGCACTTAGGGAACCAGTTGGCAGTGGACTTGATTATAGTAAAACAAAACAGCTCTTGCAGGTTTTGCTGAGCAGGAACTCAGGCCAATACTGCCAGGTAGTACTTTTCCAAGACTTATTTAGGCATGGTGTAGATTATTGGTGGGAGCACTTGCCTAGCATGAGAGTCCCCGAGTTCAATCTCCAGCGCAGAAAACAAAAACAAATGTTGGCAACTAATCACTTTATCTGCCATTCAGAATCTTCATTGAGAATTCAATCAATTTTCTGGTTGCTTGACTGTAATCTCTACTTTAGGAATTGATCTAAACCAAAGGGAGGAATTTTTTGAACTTTTAACAGTCTTAAAAGAAATGTAGAGTGGTGCTGAATTTGGAGTGGTCAGAATACTTTTGATTGCATTTTCTGGGACTTCTTTAAACTACAGTGACAGAACACAGATCAGTGATTGCTTGGGTGGTATAAGAAGCAGAAATTCCCAAGGGGCATGCTTTAGTCAGCTTTTTTTGTTGCTGTGACTAAATGACCTGACCAGCACAATGGTAGTGGAAGAAAAGTTTACTTGAGGGCTCAGAGTTTCAGAGGTCTTAGTCCATGGAAGGCCAGCCTTTATTCCTGGGGCTTGAGGTGAGACAGAACATCATGGTAGAAGAATGTGGCAGAGAGAAGCAGCTCACATCACCATGAAGCAAGAGAGTGAACTCCACTCTCCAGGTACAAAATATATGCCCCCAGAGCCACACCCCCAAAGCCCACCTCCTTCAATCACAACCTACCAGCCTTCAGCTATCAGTTAATCCCTCATGGGATTAAATCACTGATTGGGTTAAGGCTCTCACAACCCAATCATTTCTCCTCTGAAACTTCTTGCAGCGTCTTACACGTGAGCCTTTGGAGGATGCCACATCTAAACTGGGCACATAAAAACTTTTAGAAATGATGGATATGGGGGGAGGTCATGGAGGTGTTTATCTTGATTGTACTGATGGTTTCATTAGCACAAGTATCTCTTGTCAAATAACACACTTTAAATGTACAATTTGAGTTCATTAAATTTCAATAAAGCTAATTAAATATAGTTGGAGCAGGTTGGTGTCTTTTTTGAGCTACATCTCCCAAGATCAAGCTTTTCTCCTGTCTGAGCCTCTGAGGAGATTCACCTATACGTGCTACCATTTCACCCAAGCTGGTATAATTCTTATCTCCACTGCTGAGTTACAAATGAGACCGTATTCTCCTTGTTCACTTCTAGGATCACTCCAAACCAAAGAAGACGATTTAGAACTTTGCAACAGGTTTTTATTTTTGCTTTATATCTATTACAGTGTTTGTTTGAAACCTAAAGAAATACATTTTCTCTTCAAATTTGGATGTATATATAAATATCATTTGTCTGGGCTCAGCACACTCAATGCCATGGTTTCTTGGCCTATGTCTGCTCTGAAATCATGAAGCTTTTTCTGTCTACCCAGGGGCCCTGAGAATGTGGAAAATGGCCAGAGTTTACAGTTCTTAGAAAAATAAAAGCAAATGAGTTTTTTTGGAAAGAAAAACAGGAGGATTTGATTCACCTTCTTAGGGTCCTTGGCGAGAAACCCAAGCTGTACCTTAGGGGTTATCTTTTTGTTGGGTGGCTGAGACCTCATGTCCCCTTCCCTTGTTTTGTAAGGCAGTTCCCACAAAAGCTGGCTTAAAAAGCCAATACCCAAAACTTGGGTCTGAGGGTTTACGTAGTGTGGGCTCTTTAAGACATACTGAGTCAGAGGTTCCCACAGTCTCAGGATCTGAGCTCCGACTTATCTCACAGACCCCTGAGCATGGCTTCCAGGTTTCTCAAAACCAGCGCCGAAAAGTGAATCTACACAAGCAGGCAGGGCTAGTGTGTAGCAGAAGGATTCTGGTATGTGCTAATGTGGGCTTCAGAAGTCATGCGGGCCCAAAAGTAGGCAGTAGGCCTAAGTCCCTGCAGAAAAACCACACAAACCTTTCTCCCAGGGCGTTTCTGGGGCCTCAAATTTAATTCTGCTGCTTTTTTCAGTGCCAGCTTTGGTCCTGCATGTAGTTCAGACCTGAAGCAAAATTCCCTCTCAGAGGAAAATGAGTTTTACTTCACAGATTTGGTTGTTCTTGATATCAAATTCTTCTGTTGTCTTGGTATTGGTGTTTTACTGGGGTCAGAACTCAGGAGTTCATACCACCAGCCTTTTTGGTCTTTGAGACAGGGTCCCTTTAAGTTGCCCAGGCTGGACTCAAATTTGAGATCCTCCTGCTTCAGCCTCCACTGTACCCAGCTCTTGCTATGGTCTTATTCAGGGGTGGGGCTAGAGGATAGATAATAGGATGACTGCATCATTTACAAAGGTGTTGGCCACAGAACAGCTAATGCACACCCATTCACAGATCCATTCATACAGTGCCCAAATCTCAGCTTGTTTAACAAAACAATCCAAAAGGTAAA